ACATCAATGGAAAGCTTATTTATTCATCTTTCAGATGATGTATAAATCTCAATTTTGAAAAATTGACACTTAAGAATGGTTTTTCTCTCAAGATGAATATCATCATCGATTTTATAGCTCAATACTCTCAATTTATTTATTGTTTTTAATTCTCCTGAGGGATTTCAGGAGGAAGATCTGTGACTAAATCTATACCTGAACATTTAACCTGCTGTAAAATCCTTTTGGGGTTTCCAGTCAAAAATGATCTCCTTTTTAAAGATTGCTTGCAAATCTCTCATTGTCAGCAAATCTCGGATTCAATCTTTTATCAGCTTGCTTTCTTTCAATTAGCACAGGTTTTTTTGCATTACTTTTTGGAACTGATTGATCGTAGGCCTCACTGATTTGAGCACATGCACCTCAGTTTTTGACTTAAAAAAAGCATTATTTTGGCAAAATTTACAAAAGAGTTCAATGAGGCCTACAATCAACCAGTTTTAAAATAAATACAAAACATGCTATGTGAAAGAATACAAGTTGATAAAAAAGATTGACTTCAAGATTTGGTAATAATATAGCAATTTTAGTAGGCATTTTTAACTGGGAAGTTCACAGTCAGTATGTTTTAGTCCAATGCCATAACATTAACTGCATTATCAGCAAAAAGAAAATCCTCTCTGGGTCAAAATGACCAGAACACAACACGAGGCTTGAATACTGCAAGTGCATTACACACAGATCTGTTTAAAAATACCCTGCAATTTTTCCAAATACAAACGTTGTGCAGATATTAAATCCTTCAGCACGGTTTGACCTTTAAGACTCCAGCATGCGTTCAATGCATTCAGACGCCGACATGCACATCCACTGCTGCCATATAATGCTATTGGATATAACAGTTCAGTGCCAATTTGTATGATGAGTAATAAGTTAGAATGCAATTGACCAGATATAATTATGTGAATGCAAACATCAGTATTACTATTGCTCAGAGTTAGTGATCTGAACTGCATTTGTGCTGAAGAAATTAATGGAAAAAATTGCAATGCATTTTTACTGGAAATTAATGTTCAAGACATAATTATGAGGTTTGTCTTTTATGCACAAAACATATTTTTATGTACCAAACTATGTCCATCAAAATACTCCTTGTGTGTGTGCCAAGACCGAACTGTCTCTCTGTGTTAATTTCCCAATTATAAGAACTAAATTCTGGGCACATCAGATGGCAAAGATTGCAAACTCAAGCAGAGAATAAAACTGTGTGGCGTAGTGGTTAAAGGTTTGGCCCAGAAACTCACAAAACTTTAGATTTGAATATTGCAAGAGTTGATTTAGCATCAAAACTAGGGATGTAACGATGCAACCCAAATCAATAAAAATATGTGTCCCTGCAGCACAAAAGCAGTGTTAAGTCGCTGGGGTATATTTGTAGCAATATCCAACAATACATTGTATGGGTCAAAATTATACATTTTTCTTTTATGCCTAAAATCATTAGGATATTAAGTAAAGATCATGTTCCATGAAGATATTTTGTAATACAATATAATTTAGATTAAAAACGGCTCATGCTGCATGTATGTCGAATCTTTGTTTGTTGTGATTAAAATGCAGTGGTTGCCATTAAATTTAAATTAAAAGAGCACAGGCAAAGCCTTCATTTGTGAAATTTCTTTCATTTGAGTCATTTGATTTGTTTTCAAAGTAGTTTTGTTATTTGACATATCTCAACTTCACAAAAGAAATGTGCAGCATTTTGTATGAGACATAATAAAAGCATTTATAAGCATTTATTTAATTTGTCATTTGTCTTAAATCTAATTTTGTTAAAAAAAATAAATAAAATCGGGAGAACATCGTATCGGGAGTTGAGTGAATCGTTAAATCCCTCATCAGGATATAAAGTGGCATTATATAACATAAAACACTTTAGAATGGTTTTAATGTTGTGTTCGGGTCATTTTGACCCAGAGAGGATTTTCTTTTTCCTGAAAATGCTAGTTAAAGGGTTAGTTCACCCAAAAAAGAAAATTAGCCCATAAATGACTCACCCTCAAGTCATCCTAGGTGTATATGACTTTCTTCTTTCAGACGAATCCAGTCAGAGTTATATTAAAAATTGTCTTTGATCTTTCAAGCTGTTTAATGCCACTCAGCAGGTGTTGCATGCATCAGTCCAAAAGAAGTGAAATAAAAAGCGCCCATCCATAAAAAGTATCTCACACGGCTCCGGGGGCTGAACAATGGCCTCCTGTAGCGAATCCATGCGTTTTTGTAAGAAAAATATCCATATTCAAAATAGTTTCATGCAGATGTTTTATGTATAGCATTATCTCACAAAGCTATAATCAGACCATTCTGTTTTTGCTTAAAATGATACAATATAATTTAGATTAAAAACAGCTCATGCTGCATGTATGTCGAATCTTTGTTTGGATCGTGATTAAAATGCAGTGGTTGCCGTTAAATTTAAATTAAAAGAGCACAGGCAAAGCCTTCATTTGTGAAATTTCTTTCATTTGAGTCATTTGATTTGTTTTCAAAGTAGTTTTGTTATTTGACATATCTCAACTTCACAAAAGAAATGTGCAGCATTTTTACAAAAACTCATCGATTTCGCTACAGAAGGCCTTTGTTCACCCCCCCGGAGCCGTGTGAGACACTTTTTTATTATGGATGGGCGCTTTTTATTTCACTTCTTTTGGACTGATGCATGCAACACCCGCTGAGTGGCATTAAACAGCTTGAAAGATCAAAGACAATTTTTAATATAACTCCGACTGGATTCGTCTGAAAGAAGAAAGTCATATACACCTAGGATGCCTCGGGGGTGAGTAATTTATGGGCTAATTTTCATTTTTGGGTGAACTAACCCTTTAATGTTATCGCATTAGAGTAAAACTTACTGACTTTGCTCACACAGGGTAAAACAACTTCCCAAAAAATTGATAATTTTTTTAATTTTTGGTGATTTTTTTTTCTCTCACCTTGTTACAGGTGTTTCTAGTCAAACATGACCAGCCTACTTGTTATGCTATATTATTACCAAATCTTGGATTCAATCTTTTAAGCAACTTGTTTTCATTCAATTAGCACAGGTTTTGTGTTTCTTTTTGGAGCTGATTGATCTGATTTTGAGCTCATCCACACTAAAAATGCATTATTTGTGGAACATTTTGGCAATGTTCACTCAAAAACTGAGACTTACGATCAAGCAGTTCAAAAAAGAAATACAAAACCTGTGTTAATTGAATGAAAAAAAGTTGATAAAAGGATTGCATCGAAGATTTGGTGATAATATAGCATAACAAGAGAATTACAAACAATTTTTAACACCAAATTAGCTAAAGGATGAATTATCTGCACAGCACAAGGATTAAATGAGTAATTATATTCAACAAAAACAACCATCTGATAATGAAACACAAGCCAAAAAATGCGTATTTAAGATCGTTTTAATTTTATATATATATATATATATAAATTCCTCTGTATTAGAAATACAACTGTTTTCTACTTTGTGTTATTTCAATCCATCATAAATCCGTAATTTACAATATTTACACATTGTACAATAACCCGTTTAATTTGAAACAATATTAAAATAAATGTTCAGAAAAGATATCTAGTTCTCTTTATACTTTTACAGCATTTCCAGGGAGTCCTTTACGAGTCATTTGTAAAGCCATTTTCTTCTAATTATTTAGTGCAAATTATTTTTCACTCTTGAACAAAAGTATGATTGCAGCATCCAGCGCCGATGGAGCAAAGCATCACGCCGTTACCGAAACGCATCCGCTTTTGTTCCAATGCAATTATGAGAAAAACACAGTTTCAACAATCAGTGCAAAACACCTCGACTGTCTGTTTGTTCTGAGCTCAGAAATACAGCGAGACAAACGAACCAAGAGGGAACGAAACTAATTACTGAAAACACTGAACATCAGTTTGATTCTCAAAACCTGCAGAGAACATCATA